TTTTTTTTAATAAGCTGGAAGCAAAGAAAGTTATGAAAAGATTAGCTTCTCCCCACCTCAAGAGCTAGTATATCTGTGTTCTCATTAGTACCCCGACTCTTTCCTTCCTTTAATCAGCAACCAACAAATAAGAATTATTCTGCCAATGTCCCTTAGTTTTCAACTGTCGGCTGGAAAAATATCTCCAAAGCTTTTTTGTGTGTGTTTCCTCCCAGTTGTGAAGCTGTGCTGTGATATGTAGACAAGCAGGATATGGAGCCGTCTCAAATTTATGGCGATGCTGTGAATCAGGGACCTCCAAAATATTCTATCATGAACAGACCTACCCAACGCTTGCAAACTTGAGACGGTGGCTTCCTTTATGGTTCAATCCACCTATTATTTGGTTTTCCTCTTTTCCTGCTGCTCCAACATTTCCTAGCATTATGTTTTTTCCCCCCAGTGAGACTTGTCTTCTAATGCACATGTACATCAACGGTGGGGGTGATGATGATAGCATAGGAGTTTGAAGTCTTCAGTTCAGAGCTGGCTTTCTTGGTGTGGGGAGGGAAGGGGAGAAGCCCAGTCCTAGCACCAGGGTCGTACAGCCCGGAGGTAGCCAGCTTCCTTCTCTGGTGTTGCTGCTCCGTGGATCACTAGGACGCCAAATTTCTTGTCCCGGCATGGAAGTGGGTGACTTGTCCCTCCAGCTGCTTTCCAGCTGTGGCCATGCCGGCACAAAGGCGCTGGTGGTTCTCCAAAGGGCGCCAGGCTACCAACGCTTTGCTCCCGGAGGTCCCTGCTCCGAGCGAGACACTATGGGTCGGTTGTTCGGGGGAACGGCAAAATTACACCACCCTCGCCAGGGTTCCACATGTTTCTGATGAGCATTAATTTTACCGCCTCGAACGGGCTGATTCTTGTGGTTCCATCCCACAGATCCTGGGTCGTCAGGGATCTGACGGAAGAATGCCAACGATCCTTAATGACGAGGAAGGGTGCGTTCCTCCACGGCTGGGATATCTGGCTCCCTCTGGAATGTGGCACAAACCGGAGTGACTGGGAAAGACAGTGACACATTTTCCAAGCATTTGAATCCAGGGACTGGCAGACAGTCAGACGGTCGTGAAACTAGACCAGACACATGGGGGGTGGATTTCGCCGGGTCAAGCTGTTCTTCCTGCTCGAGATCTTCATACAGGTCTAGTAGCATTGCTGCCTCCTGCAGGAATCCATTCTTTTTTCCCCCTATGCTCCGCTTGTTTGTTCGTAAACAGAAGCAGTTATCTAGGAAGACACCTGAAGCATCGAGTGAGTTTTTTCATTCAAAGAAATTAAGTTGTCATCTTAAAACTGCAGAGCTGAAAGGGGTCCTATGGGTCATTGAGTCCAGTCCACCAAGGAGGAAGAGTGGGGATTTGAACTCCCCATCTCCCGGCTCATCCCTAAACCACTGAGCGACCCAGCAGTTGTTCTGTGACAATCCAGCATTCTTCTCGATGTGTGGAAAAGGAGAAAGTCGGGGGAATACGGTTGGAGCTTTGTGTTCAGAGCTGTGCTGGATCAGACCAAAGACCTATTCTGCTCACACAGATGACCCATCAGGATACCTACAAGAAGCCCCCAAATAGGTCATGAGTGTAGACTGTAGATCCCAGATCATGCTTCCCTGCCTCTGAGACAGGAGGGTGACATATGGTCATCAGAGCTTGTTGAAGTTGGGTTTTTTTGGAACTACAAACTCCAGAATCCCCAAGCCCAGCATGGCCACTGGGCATACAAACTGGATGATCCTGAGAACTGCATTCCAACAAAAGGTAACAAACGCTGGATTGCTCAGTGGCTTAGGGAGGTTGGGTGTTCGATTCCCCGCTGGGGCTCCTTGACAGGGATGGACTTGATGACCCCTAAGGGTCCCTTCCAGCTCCACAGTTCTAAGAGGAGGACGACAACGCTGGGTCTCCTTGACAGGGATGGACTTGATGACCCCTAAGGGTCCCTTCCAGCTCCGCAGTTTTAAGAGGAGGACGACAAAAACCCTCTGTAACATCTACAAGCACCATGATTTTTTCTATCTCAATTGGAAGATGTGTAAGTCGATGCCCCTCACTACATCTTGTGGCAATGATTTCCACAGTTTAACTCTGCCCTGTGCAGAGATGTGCTTCATATTAGCTGTGCAGATTTCTACTATCTCTCCATTCAGCTCTTTAGGATAGCACAGAGTTCCAAGTATTGCAAATCTCCTTGCACAAATGTAGTTTTATAATGATTCTTCTTCAGTATGTATGTATGTATGTATGTATGTATGTATGTGATTGATGATTAGGCATCCTTCAGTCTCAAGAGACTATGGTATCGTGCTCTGCATGGAGGACTTGGAACAGCGTCTAGTGTGGCTGAGAAGACCAATTCGAGAGTGATCATCCCTTCCACACTGAAGACAAATCCAATCTGTCCCCTGTCCAGCTCCCTGATTTGGCTGCTTTTGAGAGTATGTATGTATGTATGTATGTGATTGATGATTAGGCATCCTTCAGTCTCAAGAGACTATGGTATCGTGCTCTGCATGGAGGACTTGGAACAGCGTCTAGTGTGGCTGAGAAGACCAATTCGAGAGTGATCATCCCTTCCACACTGAAGACAAATCCAATCTGTCCCCTGTCCAGCTCCCTGATTTGGCTGCTTTTGAGACTGCTCCTTGCCTCAGCCTGCTGGACAAGGGTCTCTTCAAATTGGGAGAGGCTGTGATGCACCGCCTGCCTCCAGGCTGAACGCTCAGAGGACAAGGCTTCCCATGTGTTGAGATCCGTTCCTAAGGCCTTCAGATCCCGCTCGCAGGTATCCTTGTATCACAGCTGTGGTCTCCCTCTGGGGCGCTTTCCCTGCACTCATTCTCCATACAGGAGATCTTTTGGAATCGGACTGTCAGCCATTCTCACAACATGCCCGAGCCAACGTAGACACTGCTGATTCAGTAATGTATACATGCTAGCAATTCCAATTCTATTTGGAACTTTGTCCTGCCAGGTGATTCCAAAAATGTGTCGGAGGCAACGCATATGGAACGTGCTCAACTTCCTCTCCTGCGGTGCACAAAGGGTCCAGGACTCACTGCAGTACAGGAGTGTGCTCACCTAATACTACCAACATGATATTCTGATCCCCCCTCGACACACACACACCCTAAATAGACTGGGCCCGTTCTTCTTTGCTTTTATGGTTGTCTTTGAAGCCAACTGCTGGATGTCTGTTTTCTTTGAAGTCAGCTTGTACACAGAGGAGTCCCCTGAGCCAAACCCAACATTCGGTATCCCATCACACACGGTGGGCCTTGGGCCCAGTGGGATTTGCCTGTAGTCCCTTCCAGTCTCCAGGATGTGTATTTATTTAATAACAACAGTGTTTATTATTCTTTATTCGTCATTGTACAAAGACGAATGGACGGACATGGTTAGTATTTAAACATTCAAAACAGGGTCTTTAACAGGTATTATATAACAGATCAGAGTTTTAACAAAAAACCCAAGTATCATTGCTCCCTGATGCTTACAGTCGATGCTGGTTGTGGGATCTGACCCCAGGAAAAGTAACTTTTCCAGGGTTGGCAGCTAGGTTCCCTGCCTCACGACCGTCTTTCCAAGTCAACCCAGAATACCTGGCTTCTGGGTTTTTAAAGAATATAAGAGGAAGTGTGGGGGGAGGGTGCTCCTGAGGGGCAGGACTACAACACTGAGCATCCTTGGCACATGCACCCAGAATTACAATTCCCATCTCTTACCCACTCACTCACACCAGCTGGTTTAGAGGAGGCTCTCCTGCTTCACCCTAAGGCTTGGAGGAGTATGTGTGAAAATCCCACACTAACTCCATGACCATCATCCACCTTTATTCCTGATATGAAAGCTAGACAGGGAAGAAATTAAGACAAGAGGGGGAAAAAAAGAGAGAGACACATTTATCTGAAATACAGCCCTTTGCGGATACCATGATCAGGATGTGTCCAAAAACAGCACAACCTCAGTTGCATTATTTTGGCTTCTAGGGAGAGTTGAGGCTTGAATTTAATCTAGGTAGGTCCCAGGCAAGCAAGCGGGTCCTCGATCAAGTCATGCCTGACTTTCTTTCTAGGAGCCAAAAAAATATATGATAAAATAGAGGTGGTCCTAGCTGGGGCACAACATGCAAAACACAAGCCTCATGAGACAGTATCATCAGGCTAAGGAAAAAAAAAAGAAAAAGAAAAAGGTGGGTCCTAGCTGGGGCACAACATGCAAAAGACAAGCCTCATGAGACAATATAATCAGGCTAAGAAAAAAAATGGCGAGGTGGTCCTAGCTGGGGCACAACATGCAAAACACAAGCCTCATGAGACAGTATCATCAGGCTAAGGAAAAAAAAAAGAAAAAGAAAAAGGTCGTAGGAAAAGAGGAAGACCACGTGCGAGAGGGATCTACTCGCTCAAGGAAACCACGACTTTGAGTTTTGCTTTTTTAACCTGTGCCTACGGAGAGGGAAGGGTTAACTCCACTCACGCTCCCCCCCCCCCCGTTGCATTAGGTTAGAGAGAGAGAGAGAGGCACGCAATGCTGCATGGACTGGTTTCACTCTAAGGTATAATCACGTTAATCGTAACGCAACCGGCTCCAAAGAAAACCCGTCCGTCTGCCTTTCAGCGCTGGCTGGCCCGGGTGTGTCTCTCCCCCCCCCTTTTTTTTGAAATGAGCCGTCCGAGGGAGGCGGGGCTCTTCTGCTTACTTCCCAAAGGGGCTCCAGGTAGGGCTGTTCCATATGGAAGAAAGGGGGGAAGAAAGGGGAGGACCCTTCTTTCTCCTTCTGGATGGGGCGTGCGGTGGGGGGAGAGGGCGACTTTAAAGAACAGCCTCCTTCTTTTCCCCTCCCTCGTCCCCTGGGTGGGCGTGGCTGAATCTGACATATGGGGGCATGCTTTGAGGGGTTTTTTTTTTGCATTTAAAGGACCAATCAGCAGGGAGGAAGGGAATGGGAGGGGGGCCGTCGAAGGAGAGGGAAAAGTTTGTTTGGGAAAAGTTCTGCAAACTTCCTCCCCCCACTCGCTCCTTTGCACCGTTTATTTAAATATTACAGGAAAAGTGGGGGGGAAAGGGAGACGGCATAGAAAAAAGTGGTGCTGAATTCAAGGAAGGGGAGGGTTTCTTCTTCTTCTTCTTATTCCCTCCACCTGATCCCCCAATTCTGTGACTTTTTTGGGAGGGTGGGTGGAGCAGGAGGGAGGGAATCTCCCTGTTAATCTCTGTTCTCTATCCCTTCTCCTGGAAAAAAGGGGGAAAATGGGTGCAGCAAATTGTGATGATGAAGACTTAGAATTCAAGCTGATCTTTGGAGAAGAGGAGAAAGAACCTTCAGTGATGGGGGTTCCGCTGGAAGGTGAGAGATGGGGAGCTGGCTGGGTATTTTTTGGGGGTGGTGGTGGCTTATTTACAGGGGGGGAAGGACTGTGATCCAGTACATTGGAGATAATCGGACTTTAAAAATTAGACTATTTTTGAGTGATTTTTGTGTGTGTGTGTGTGTGTGTGTGATTTACCTGGAAGCCCCCCCACCCCACCTTTAAGATATGTTTTTAGGAGGACGGTGCTGGTAGGAACATGCCCATCCTCTTCCAGAGTTTATGCCTGTCTCCCAGAACCTGAGTGGTCGAAAGTTTGAAACTTGACGTCAATGGGTAATTAATATTTGCAATCATCTTAAAAGGTGGGTGTTTTGTTTTTCTCCCAGGCTGCCTATGAGAAACGACCAGGCTTGAGTTTCATGGTATAGGTTTAATGGAAACAATTGTCTTTGACCGCTTTCGGATCACACAGGGCTCTATGTCAAAAGCTGAGTTCCCTGGGAGAGATGAATGAGCTGGTTGACTTTTTTTTTTCAGGAGTCAGGAGTGGAAGCTAGGAAGTTGGAAGTGCCAAGTTCAAATGGTTGTTTAGTCATAATAAACTCCCTGGTCGCTCTGCGATGACCCATGATCTCTTAGCTTCAGCTGAGGTGTGTCTTATGGTTTAAAGGTTGTCCGGGTTGTCGTAAAGCAGTTTTTTTTATATGCTGGAGAAGGGGAGAGCTTTCCTTCCTCGGCTATCTTTGTTGCCTAGTTTGGAAAGTATACACAGAAACAGTTAAAAAAAATACTGAGTGGAAGACAGAACCATAACTGGCATGGGGCATATCCTGGCAAAACTGATGCCAATTGCAGAAGAAAATTCAAATAAGATTTATATGATCAGTTTAGGCCAGTGCGCTGGCAGGTCATTACATGTTCACGACTGCGTCACGGTTAGTTCATGTGTGGTTGTATCAGATTATGATTACACACCGCCCGATTTAAGCCTAAATAGCACTCTTTAGGCACTTGCCACTATGAAACATCTCCATGCCACGGCCAGTGTTATGATCTGAGACAGCAGCACCCACATCACAAATTTCGTCAGATCAGGATTTAGAGTTGTTCTGTTTTGCTTTTTAATTTTTTTTTCCAGAGCACAAAACACAAAAATCTGGAAATGGTCTCGTGCGGGCTTCTATTCTGAGCATTCCCTCCTTTTTCTTCCTCTCTGTTTCAAAGCCAAACATCCCCGCATCTCCCTCTCCCTCCCTTCCAAATAAACATTTGTTCCAGAAGAACTTGGAGAAGGGAGAGATGTGTGTGTGTGTGTGTGTGTGTGTGTTTGCCATTGTGTTGGTTGCTTTTGCCGCAGCAGCAGCAGACACGAGACAGCCTTGCGGCACCTTTGACAAATTTATGGGAACGTGTGAGTTCCTCGGCCAAAACCCTGTCTCTCGGATGCTTGAAGTGGTCACGTCAGGGAAAGGGGAAGGAAAGCACTCGAAAACTCAAAATATCACATTTGGAAATCCAGGCTTTGAGATCCAAAATGGAAAAAATGTGGGTTGTGTGACATGGATTTCCACATGCATATTTGAAAAATGAGAAGGGGGGGAGAGAGGGAACACTTCCCACTTTTTGTGGGTTTTGCTTTTTTTCCCCCCTCTCCAGATCATGTTTGTAGCTCAACCCTCCGCGCTGCCTCATTGCCATCATCCTTCATCTCCCTCTTGGCATCAGTTGTGAGAACATATTTCTTGCTCCTGTAGCCTTTATGAGATTGTGGGGGGGGGGAGCGAGATGGGGAGCAGGAAGGGAAGGGGTTCCAACTCAAAGCAAAATTGTGACCCCCAAACCCCCCCACACATCTCCTTGATTGAAGGGCCCTGCCTGTGAGGAAGCTGGATCCCCCCCTACCCAAGACTGCCCCAGAGGCGGTGGTAGGAAACGGGTGTATTTTTATTATTATTATTATTATTTTAAAAAACCCTACTGAAAGGTCAAACCGTCTCTGAGCAGAGGCAGTGTCTGGTTCAAATGAAATCCAGATGGGGACTGAAGGAGGCCCTCAGGATCCCACTGAAATCCAAGCCCTTCCAGACTGGCCTGAGTCCAAGGCCTCCCCCCCAAAAAAGTCTTTTTTTGGGTGGGGGGGAAGAGAGAAATGGCAGCAAAAATGGGGAGGGGGAGTGGCAGCATGCACGAGGCCCGGTCTGGACGGCTCTGGCATGCTGTTCTAACTAAAAATCCCTGCAACGGTGCAATTTTCCTTTTCGTCTTTTGGCCCGGGCCCCGTTTCCTCGGCAACGGGGGGTCCCTGCCAGTGGAGCCTGGGGCTTTGGGAAATGGCCCTTTAATTGGGTTCAGATGGTGGCCCCTCCCTGTCAGTCTCTCTCCCCCCCCCCGTCTCCCGGCACTCCATCTCTTTCCTCCCCCCCATTTTTTTGTCCTTCCCCGAATCCTGGGTTTGTCTCTCTGGCCCGCAAAAACAGGGTGGAGGCCTCGAAAAGATTTTGGGCCGGGTTCAGGGGACGTTTTGCGAAGGCCCCTTTCCTGTGCCAAACTTTTCAGAAAAGTTTTCCTCTGAAAGGTGAGGGAAGAGGGGGGAGGCCCACAATTTTGGCTTTCTTCTCTCTATCCTTCCTCATCCAGCTAAGAAGTGGGAGAGCAAACCCCTCTGGCGAGACGGGGGACGACGACCGCCCCACGCTTTCTTTACCGAGCAGTGTTACACAGCCCGGCACGCGTAGGACTCCGGCGCCCATTGGGCTTGATCAGCACGGCTGATGGTTGGGGATGATGGGCGTTGCGGGCCTTTCGGGCGTGGCTGCTGGACGGCACATGGCTAGCTGCTGTTGAGCAAAAGAAATATATTTTTGATTGCTTCCTGGATGTTGTGGTTATGCGCTGTCGAGTTGCCTCTGACTTATGGCCACCCTATCTATGAATGAGCACTCTCCAAAAATGTCTTCTCCTCAACGGCCCTGCTTAGCTCTTCTAAATGGAGGCCTTCGGCTTTCCTTTAGGGAGTCCATCCATCTTGTATTTGGTCCTCCTCTTATCTTGCTGCTTTCCAGCTTTCCCAACATTATGGTCTCAACGGCCCTGCTTAGCTCTTCTAAATGCAGGCCGTTGGCTTTCCTTTAGTTTCAGATTTCTGCCTCTAGAGATCGTTCAAGGCTTGATTGGATCTACAACCCTTCTCCCTCACAACCTTGTGAGGTAGGTCGGCCTAAAAGAAAGAGCAAGAGTGCCCAAAGTAGGACAGCCTCAGTTTCAAATTTCTGCCTCTAGAGATCGTTCAGGGCTTGATTGGATCTACAATCCATCTCCCTCACAACCTTGTGAGGTAGGTCGGCCTAAAAGAAAGAGCAAGAAGGAGGCACGAAAAACCATCACTCCCAGCATCCTGTTTCCAACATGAATCAGCCCAGTTCCTCTAGAAAAGACTCGCAAACAGGGCATGAATGCAAGAGGCCGGCTTGTTGTCTTGGTTCCTCAGCACTGGACATTCAAAAATTTATTTCCTCTGAAAAGGAGAGTTACATTTAGTCACTTATGAAATAGAGAGTTACTTTCTAAAAGTAATTCTTATTACTCATCACAGCGGCTGGAAAGTGATGCATTGTTATCTGTTGCAATTTTTATTTATTTCCTCTGAAAAGGAGAGTTACATTTAGTCAATTATGAAATAGAAAGTTACTTTCTAAAAGTAATTCTTAATACTCATCACAGCGGCTGGAAAGTGATGCATTGTTGTTATCTGTTGCAATTTTTTAAAAAGTAACTCAGTGTGTTTTTACTCTTCCTGCTGGCTTTCTTGGACTGTTTTTAACAGCAACATTGAGGATTAATTATAGAATAAACTATGAAACAACCCTGTTAAGATATTTCTAAGAATATCTTTTAGAAATGACTTTTATAAGGTTGATCTTGACACCAGAAAAGTAACTGTGTGCCTGCTTGTTACATTACTTAATCATTATCTATTCATTCTGTTGATATCCTGCCTTCCCTTCAATGAGCCCAGGATGGCACACCTAACTCTCTTTCCCTACCTCCTTTCTCCTCACAACAGTCCTGTGAGGTAGAGCAGGCTGATAGACTGTGACCAACCGTCTCAAGGTGACCCATGGGTTGTTTCATGGCCAAATGGGTTTTTTTTAACCAGTCTGACACTTTAGTTACAACACCACATATGCTTTTGAAATTACTTGTTCTGGAAACTTTATTATGCCATATTGAACACAGAGAAAAACTCGTTGCAGGCAATAGCATTTTTGAAGGTATTTTGAAAAGCAACGTCCTTCAACCCATGTTTCCAAAGGGCTAAACTCTTTTCAGGCAGCGACCTTTGCATGTGAAATGTTGCTTCCAAACATTTGGCTGAAATCCGGTTGTGCAGTTAAGAGACAACCTGAAGCAGACAATTGCTGTTAAATTCAGAAATCTCCACAGGCATTTCCTCTTGCACACTGAGTCGCACAATTCAGTATGCAACAGATAGTGTCTATGGAGAGCTCTTAATTTAATGACAATTTGTTGGTGAGAGGGATGTGGTGGTGCTGAGGATTAAACTGCGGAAGCCTCTGTACTGCAAGGTCAGAAGACCAGCTGTCGTAAGATCGAATCCACGTGAGGGAGTGAGCTCCCGTTGCTTGTCCCAGCTCCTGCCAGCCTACCGGTTCAAAAGCATGTAAAAATGTGAGTAGATAAATAGGGACCACCTCGGTGGGAAGGTCACGGCATTCTGTGTCTAGTCGCGCTGGCCACGTGACCACGGAAACTGTCTTCGGACAAACGCTGGCTCTACAGCTTGGAGACAGGGATGAGTACTGCGCCCTAGAGTCAGACACGACTGGCCTAAATGTCAAGGGGAACCTTTCCCTTTACCTGCTGGTGAAAATCACATCTTTTAGGTAACTGCACAACAGGATTTTGGCCTCCATGTCAAATTTGGCAAAACTTGACCTCCTGGATGGATTAAGTGGATTAAGTAGCCAACTGTGGAGCCTGAGGTTGGAAGTTGGATTCCCCACTGCAGTTCTAAGATGATGATAGTGATGATTCATTTGGTATACAGTGGTGCCTCGCATAGCGAGGTTAATCCATTCCAGATTAACCTTCCCTATGTGAAAACTTCGTTAAACGGAAAGTAAAAAGCCATTGTTCCAAATCGGCTGAAAACTCACCGTTTAGCGAAGTCTTCCCATAGCCGGCAGCCATTTTCGCGCCCTCGGTAAGCGAGGGGAGGGCGCGAAAATGCTGCGCGCGGCCATTTCGGCTGTTCCGGTGGCCATTTTGGATCCGCCGATCAGCTGATCTGAGCGAAACGAAACGCTTACCGACCTTCGCTATGCGAGTTTCGCCCATTGGGGCCATCGGTAAGCGATAGCATTAGCGATTGCGGAAACCGCATCGCTATGCGATTTCGTCATTATACGGTGCGCTCGTTAAGCAAGGCACCACTGTAAAGAGAAAGCTTCTTATTTGTGCATCTACTCCAGTTTTGTCTACTCTGGGTGGTAGCATCTATAGGGTTTCCGTCACGCTACTTTTAACTGGTGATGTTTGGGTTTCAAACCTAAAACACAGACCTTTCTAGGATTTCTCCCTATGCAATACCTCTGGCTGACTTGGCAACTTCCAGAGCTAGACTTCCTCTAAATCTGGAGGTTCTGCTTCGCTAGATGGATTGACTTCTGAGTATTACTCCAGTCTTAGGTGGCAGGAACGAAGTTTCAAATGGGATGTGTGTGACCATTCTAGCGTTGTTGACCAAAAAGGTTATTTTTTCTGAGTTCATGGGGGTTTTATATGGTTTTGGCCTCCTCCTATTTCCAAATAAGCATGGACTGGACAAAATCATCGCTGTTGTAGTAATTCAAAAGATTTACGTGCCGCTAGAATGACAAAATTTGCTCCAAACTATCCCTAACTCAGCTGACCTGGTCCGGATGCAGTGGGTTTTGCCAAGAAGCTGATGTCCCCAAAGTTAGACGCATGATTTGATTCAATGATCCATAGGGTCTCTTCCAGCTCAGCATTTCTAAGATTATTACTATTAAAAAATAATAATCTTAGAACTGCTGAGCTGGAAGAGACCCTTTGGATCATTAAAGCCAGCCCCTGTCAAGGAGGCACATTCGGGAATCAAACTCCCAACCTCTGGCTCCATAACCAGAGTCCTAAATCACTGAGCTATCCATCAGTTTCTTCTCTTCCTTCCTTCTGATGTTCTTTTATGATCTTAGTGTGCTTCTCCCACCTGGTGTTGGAGGGCAACTCAGATTACCCCCTTCCAGGATGGGAATGATAGACATTGTCGCCCATCACATCTGGAAAGAAGTAGTAGTACGTGAAGATGCTTCTAAAATCCAACCAAAACAAAAACCAACCCACAGGTCCCAAAAAAACAAATTATGGATTTTTTGACCCCTCTAGATTCCAGCAACAGATTCCAAGCTATGAGCAGGAGCTGGGTTTTTTCCCCCCTTTCTGTTTTGCGTAACAGCTTCAAACTAAGCTGTAAACCAAGTCACCTTGGGTTAAAATCTTGTCTTAGCCACAAACCCGGTTGGCAGCCGTAGGCCACGGCTGGTTTCTCAGGGCTTCCAGAGGTAGAGAGGGGGAATAAAAATTAGGGAAAAAATTGACCTATTTTCTTTGTTGGCTCACTATCTCCACTCTTCATCCTGTCTTCTGGCTTTCTCTGCCCTCAGCAAAATAACAATAACAACAACTACAGCAACAATAACAACAACAATAATAAATAAATAAATAAAAATAAAAAAATCCCAAAGTACACACACACAAACACACACACACACACACACACACACAGGCCTGTGCATGCCACACCAGTTCAATTGATGCAACACATCAATGGCCACTTGTACACAGTCAACAGTAGTGACACATCCACCAGTGGTGGTGGCAACAGGGACCTTGGGGTGTGTGTGTCTCTTAAATAGGGGCACAGAGAGTGCATGACAATAATCCAGCCGAGATGTAACTAGGGCATGTGTCACTGTGGCCAGATCAAGCCTTTCCAGGCATGGGCACAAATGGATAACCATGGCCATGGGAATGTGGGGCGGTTTATTCATTCTGAAGCCCCACTGAAACTAAGTGTTGTCTTTAAGTTACAATCACATATCTTATCCCTTCCGGAAACCCACTCATGGGTCCAGCAAGACATTCTGCCTTTTTCAGCCTAAAATCTGCTGCTGCCCGAGAGTCGGACACGACTTAAGGACTAAACAGCAACAAAAACATCATCATTCCAAAGTCCAATACAGGTTTTTTTCTACCTGAGGCAGAAAGTCCCTCCGTGGTCATGAAAGTGCCCCCACTTTTCTAATCCAAAATTAAGAAACCTAAGTGGGGCTGAACAAGTGTAGGAGGAAAGGGATCAAACTGCTGCAGGATCGCTTTGATCCCTGCTTCCCCCTCCACTTGGTTTTGTTCTCTCCTCAGCTTACTTCTGTGTATAAGACGACCCTCAATTTTTAATCTAAAGATTTTAGACAAAAGTATAGTCTTATACGTGGAAAAATATGGTAATTAAAATGACAACAACTTTAAAACTGTGTACCCAGGTTTTGTTACCATTCCACCTCATGGTAGGGCTAGCCAACTCCCAACCCAGCCCTAGTTAAAGTAGGATTAACCTTGGTGTTAACTAAATGTATTGTTAAAGCATCAACTTCTCCTGTGGAATCATATATTTCTTTGTAGTACCTCAGAAAAGAGCTCTTTTTTTTGGTGACAAATTTCCTTTAAGTCAATCTTTCCACCCCGACACCCTCCAGATGTGATATATGACGACTCCCATTGTCCTCAACTGGCATAATGAGACTCCTTTCCCATCATTCCTATCAAGCTCAATTATTTCCCATCACACATTGCAAGCATCATTCTCAGTGTCCATTGACGTCACTGGAAAATGAGTTCCCTGGAAGCGTAACAATGCAGTGCTTATTAAATAATAATTCAGATACTGATAATAAAACATTTAAATGAGCTGTTGAGAAAGTGGATTGTTTTGAAGTTTGGACAATTGTCGCTTAGGGTTTCTGCAGCACCTGAATGATTTACTGGAGCATTCTTCTTGATGGCTTTTATATTTGGAGCAGCTTCCATGTTGCAGAATTGCGAGGGAGGGAAGGAGGAAAACCTAAAGAAAGAAAAGCCACCGTTGAAAAGCAAAAGTCGGCTTTTAAGGGGCAGCTGTGCTAAGGAGGCAGCAGTTCTATTTTTCAAGCATATTCCAGGAACATTTAACAAGATTTGACCCGTTTGTTCACCGATGTATCTGTTGGAGATTTCGCAGCCTTGTATGTGGCTAGGGTGACAGTCTCTTCAGCGCCAGTTTCTTCCCTGCTTCTGAATTCCAAGAGAGACTCTTTACTCTGTCCCCCCTTCCCCATATTGGAAGCAGTGAGTCTGTTGTTGAAAGGAGACAGCTATGTTCTGTCACTTTGCTGTTTTATCTAGCCAACTGTAAGTAAATGAAACATTTAATCCTTTCTCCAACTCAGTGTCTCAGAGTGAGTTATTGAGATTGTAAGTGCCAGTTAGTGAGGGAAAAAAGGGTTGATCTCTGGGCCAACTTGAAGCTGTTCTGCTCTCGAAACCCCGGAGATTGTAAGTGCCAGTTAGTGAGGAAAAAAAGGGTTGATCTCTGGGCCAATTTGAAGCTGTTCTGCTCTGCTGCGCAGCTAGAGGAATTTAACTAGAAACTCGACAACCTGCAACAGTACCGCCCAGAGAGAGCGAGAGCTAAAACTGCTGTTTTCCTTTGAAATGGATTGCGCAAGGGCTGTGCAGCTAGTGGAATTTAACTAGAAACTCGACAATCTGCAGCAGTACCACGCAGAGAGAGAGAGCTAAAACTGCTGTTCTCCTTTGAAGTGGATTACGCAAGAGTCAACCAAGGATGGGGGCCTTCCAGATGGTTTTCAGCCATAATCCCCAATGTTCCTCAACCATGGTGGTTCTGACTAGGAGGGGCAACCCAGCCATTTCTGAGAGCTGCATTGTTGCCCATCCTGGATTACAAAAGAAAGATCTATGCCTGCTTATGGAAGGACAGCAGAGATAGGGACAGCCTGGCCTCTAGTGGGAGGGAGTTCCAGAGTCTGGGAGCAGCGACAGAGAAGCCCCTCTACTGTTTTCCCACCAAGCACACCTGTGAAGGTGCTGGGATGGAGAGAAAGGCCTACCCTGAGGATCTTAGCACCATCATGGATGGGGCGCCAGAATTTCTCATTCCACCTTTGTGTCTTCCTTTACAGACCTGGATGCGGACCATCTCCCTGCCTATTGTTCACTTACTCTGGGGGACCCGCCTCCTTATGCCTCTCCTCTGGGCATCCCTTGCCCGCACCATCTCAGTGGGGGCCGTGCCGGCATGCATTCGCCCCCTCCCCGGCCTGCCGACTTGGACGGTGACACCTTTGAGAGCCAGCCGGCCCGGCGGGTCCGCCTCGGAGGCTCCCGGGTGCTGGAATGCCCCAGCATCCAGATCACCACTATTTCCCCGAGCCATCGGATCGAGGAAGACGACTGGGACTCCTCTCCTCGGGACTACCTCCTGCTGGAGGCTTTTGGGGGCTACCGGGAGGCAGCCCCAGCTTCAGGCTTCTTCACCCCGAGTCCGGCCAGCAGCGGCAGCGTCTCTCCCTGGAGCTTTTTTTCAGACGACGAGGCCCCCGCCGGGGATGACGTCGAGCACGAGTTGAATGAGGCGGCTGCCCGCTTTGCCCTTAGCTCCCCCTTGGGCTCTCCACGGGGCTCCCCAAAACCGTGGTCATCTGCCGATGAGTCATGGCCCACTTACGGCTATTCCCCGAGCCGGGGAGCAGAGGATGGATGGATGCTTCTCGGCCCTCGTCCGGCATCTCCCTGCGGCAAGCGGCGTTACTCCAGCTCTGAGACACACTCCTCAGCCTCCCCGTGTTTGTCCCGGAGAGGGAGCCTAGGAGAGGAAGTTCTGGGGGACTCTGGGGAGGTGGGAGGCGATGTGGTCCCCTTCAACTGTACCGGAGCCCGGCTGATGGAGAGCATTCCCCAGAAAGCCAGGAAGACTTCGACGGAGCAGACAGTCGCCTTGACCCGGAAGGAGGAAAACGGCTGCAACGGAGAAGACGGGAACGGTGGCCCAATGGGAGGATTTGGGCTTGGTCTGGGACGTAAAGAAGGGATGGATTACCTCGCCGTTCCCTCTCCCTTGGCATGGTCCAAAGCTCGTATCGGAGGACACAGCCCTGTATTTAGGTAATGCCTGCTAAAGAGGGGAGAAAGGCTTCCGTTTCTCGTTAAGAATGTGTGTTTTGGGATTCAGAAAGATCCTCTCTTGAAAGAATGGTCTACCACTCTTGGGAGGATGCTCAAGCAAGGCATGATGGGAATATCTGTCTTCTGATGTTTATCTCCAGTAGCCCTTTTTCAGCCTGAGGTCCCAGTTCTAGTTTTGGAAGGGTCTCAGGACCCACCAAGGTTGAGGATAGGATCATAGCGAGGTGAGCAGGCCTAGGTATAATTATTACCTTTTTTGCAGAGTTTCCCACCGAGCATATAAAGCAAAGCTCGGTTCTCTATGTGTTTACCCGGACGTAAACTCCAATGCAACAGCAGGTTGCGGATAGGATCATAGCGAGGTGAGCAGGCCTAGGTATAATTATTACCTTTTGGTAGACTTTCCCACCGAGTGTATAAAGCAAAGCTTGATTCTGTATGTGTTTACTCGGACATAAACTCCAATGCAACAGCAGCCTTGCAGGCAGAAACAGAGAAAGTCACGCTGATGTGTTGTTGATTTCCGAGTCTTGAGCATTCCAGGAACACTCATCTTTTCCACCTAATTCTAAAAACTGATCACATTTCTTGGAGCTAATTTCTCCTTGGTTTACCCCCAAAATATGCAGTTTTCACCACGGAATGAGGTAGCTGCAAGAGAAGTGACATTAGGTAAAGGTAAAGGTTCCCCTTGACATTTAGTCCACTTGTGTCCGACTCTAGGGCATGGTGCTCATCCCCGTTTCCAAGCCATAGAGCCAGCATTTGTCTGAAAACAGTTTCTGTGGTCAGGTGGCCAGCGTGACTAGACACGGAACGCCGTTACCTTCCCACCAAGGTGGTACCTATATATATACTCGCATTTTTGCATGCTTTTGAACTGCTAGGTTGGCAGGAGCTGAGACAGGAAACGGAGCTCACTCCATTGTGTGGATTCAATCTTATGACTGCTGGTCTTCTGACCTTGCAGAACAGAGGCTTCTGCGGTTTAACCCGCAGCGTCACCATGTTCCTCTGACATGACACCTCCTTAAATTAAATTACACTGTTAACTGTTGTGTCTTTTTTTATTGGAAGCAAAAGGAACTCCTTCTGCTCCTCCTCCTCCTACTACTTGTTGTAGCAGCAGCAGCCCTAGTAGTTCCAGGGGATGCCAAAAATCGAAAATAAAGAATTGGAAAAACTAACAAAAGTACAGAGATCTAGTAACTGAAACATCTCGCTTGGGGATGAAACACACTTCAGTGGGCCCCGTAGTCATTGGGGCTTTGGGAACAAGATCGAGAAATTTGACACAGTGCTATAAGCAGTTGCAAATCTCAGAAATCACACCATCAGAGTTACAATAAATGGGAATATTAGGAACAGCATAATACGGTGCCAATATTTAAGAGATACTTAGGTTTTTGGTTAAAACTTGTATCTGTCCTATAATACCAATCAATGTGTTTTGTAACTCTGAGGCAGAGGTTGGGAGTTCGATTCCCCGTTCTGCTTCCTTAACAGGGACTGGATTTAATGATTCAGAGGGTCCTATCCAGCTCTACAGTTCTAAGGTGGTGATGATGATGAGGAGGAATAGCAGTTACTTCTGAGCATTGCCCAGTTCTGCCCAACAAAGAAACTACCTGCCACGTATCCTTCCCATTGGCTCGGGCGAGGGAGAGCACGTGGAGAAGATTCTTTTTTGGGCTACAAATCCAACGATCCCCCTACAGGCTGGTGGACTGTGGGGGTTGTATTCCCCCTCGGTCCTTTCCCCCCCCCTCCAGCCCTGATGGCAAATGAATCCTCTGCTATAGGAGGGAAGTCTTGGATCGCCTTTCCTCCACCCACTTCTAAGCCAGCCGGACTGAATTTGCCAGCTGCGCTGACGGCTCTTTGGTCTGGCTGCCAGAGGTTCTGTTGTATAAAAACAACTTGTCAAGCCAGCCCCAGGCAGAAGGGCTGGTGTCTCCAGTTACACATCCCAGACCCCAGCTCTGCATGTTTGCTGTGGTGGGGGATGAGGATGGGGGAGTGTGTGTGTGTAGGGAAGTGGCATAAACATGTCCTGGTTCCTTCCCTGTTAAGGTAAGCAAGTGGCTATGAAGAATTTTCTCCTGCTTAGCGGATCTGCCTCGTGATGACCTTCGAGTCTGGGGCAGGGTTTCTGCCTCCACCCTCCCCATCTCCATTTTTTTTTAAATTCAAAAATCTATGGCCGGCTTTGTCTCGTGCCCTCCACTCCCAGCCCCGCCACTGTTCCTCCACGTTAGAGGAAAAATCAGGAAACGGCTGCACGGTTGTGGAAACAACAGAAATACAGGGACAGGTGATCTCTTTAGTCAGCCATTAAGAATATAAATCTATAAAACCAGAAAGCGAAAAAAACAAAGAGCAAGCGTTCGGTGATCAATCATCTTATCCAAGGCCGTGCATCAAGTTCTTGTGGGTCGTTCCAACTTATACGCTGTTATTAATGCCCCAAATTCCAAAGTAGAGCTTTTTCATTGTTTTAAGGCACTGGTTCTTAACCTTGGGTTACTCAGGAGTTTTGGACTGCAACTCCCAGAAGCCTTCACCACCAACTGTGCTGGCTGGGGTTTCTGGGAGTTGCAGTTCAAAAACATCCGAGTAACAAAGGTTAAGAACCACTGTTTTAAGGCAAAGGTCCACTTCACAAAACACCACCTCCGTGATTGCAAAGGGATTTTTAAAATTTTTTTTGTAGGCATTGGTGGATGCATTTGAAAAGCAAGGGAGGGGCGATTTTTTCCAGGGATAGGTCTCATAGCCATGCAGAGAAGAGAGTTAAACCTTTTCTCATAGCAGGAAATCCCCTACCAAAGTGCCCCCACACCCGTACTCCAGGGGAACTTTATTAGCACCACTGGAAGTTTTACACCATTATACACCATGGCGGAAAAGGGAAAAATCCATAAACCCCTTATAACTGCTCAATGGTGACATCTGTCTAGAGAGGGACAGAAATGGGGCTGGCTCTATCATTAGACAAAGTGAGACAGTCTCCCCCTCCCCTGAGTCAACAGATTTTGGGTGTCATTAAAGAGGAAGTAAGTAATTATTTGTTTAAATTATGCTTCGGGGAGAAGGAGCATTAGCACCTCTGCCTCGGATGCAAACATATTTTGCCATGGTCTGGCTTTTAATCGGTCATTGTTTCATAATGGCTGAGCAGATCTGCACAAGCAGAAGTCAGCTGTAGGAAGTTGTGTAGCAAATTTAGGCCGTTTTTTTGCTGCGCTGCCCTGGAATAGGTAGTGGACAATAAACGTATGTTTCCGAATTCTTCCTCATATCAACTTGTGCAGGTACTTGCAAACATATTTTGCCATGGTCTGGCTTTTAATCGGTCATTGTTTCATAATGGCTGAGCAGATCTGCACAAGCAGAAGTCAGCTGTAGGAAGTTGTGTAGCAAATTTAGGCCGTTTTTTTGCTGCGCTGCCCTGGAATAGGTAGTGGACAATAAACGTATGTTTCCGAATTCTTCCTCATATCAACTTGTGCAGGTACTGTAGCTAGACACAGAAAAAAAAACCTATAAAATACAGAGCGCTGCTCTGGAATAGATAGCGGACAATAAACGTATGTTTCCTATTTTTTCCTCTTATCAACGTGGAGGTAGCTAGACCTCCCAAGCTCAACACTCATCTGCTTTTCTCTGGCACGAGCGTAAATACGAAATATTCTTACAAAGAGGGTCTCTTTAATTCTGCCGTACGTTGTGGTCACTTTGTTTTTATTTTTCCCTTTTTGTGGGAGTTTTAGGTGCGCAAAATGTTGTATCAGTAGGTCTCTTGATAAGAATGCATGAATTGCTCTGTGTAGCTGTCAAGGACATTTTATTAGCAATAAGCTTTTGCCTGCATGCTGCTTTATCAATGCATCAACAGCTGGGTAGCTCAATGGTTTAGGTATCTGGCTGCCAAGGCAGAAGTTGGGAGTTCAATTCTCCACTGGGCCTCCTTGACAAGGGTCTGGACTTGAGTGGCCACTTCCAGTTCTGTAGTTCTAAGATGAGGATGATTGTCATCATCATCAACAACAACAACACGAGCAGCAAAACGTGGCTGATTAGCAACAGCCAGATTTAGACTGAATATCAGGAGAAACTTCCTAACTGTTAGAGCAGTACAACAATGGAACCAATGACCTTGAAAGGTGGGGAGTGCTCCAACGCTGGAGGCATTCAAGAGAAACATGGACAACCCTCTGTCAGATCTGCTTTGACTTGGATTCCTGCCTCAAGTGGGGGGGGGGTTTGGACTGGATGGCCTTATTGGCCCTTCCAACTCAATGATTCTATGATTCCTTTTTTTTTTGACTGCAAGATGTGTGCCGCTCCATCACATTCTGTGTCAACTGCGCACCGTCTGAAGTTGAAAAAGAAGCTCTTGACTCAGCAGCCATCTGATGATGACATCCTTCCCACTGTGTAGGCAGAGCTTCTCCACAGGACACCAGCCATTGTCCCTTGACCTGTTAGTGTATGCTATGCTCCGTTAGTCATAGTCAAAGGTATGGTTTTTCCTGTAGCGATGTATGGAAGTAAGAGCTGGACCATAAAGAAGGCTGACTGCTGAAGAACTGATGCTTTTGAACTGTGGTGCTGGAGGAGGCTCTTGAGAGTCCCCTGGACTGCAAAGAGAAGAAACCAATCCATTTTGAAGGAAATCAACCCTGAGTGCTCACTGGAAGGACAGATCCTGAAGCTGAGGCTCCAGTACTTTGGCCATCTCATGAGAAGAGAAGACCCTCTGGAAAAGATCCTGATGTTGGGAAAGTGTGAGGGCAAGAGGAGAAGGGGACAACAGAGGACGAGATGGATGGACAGTGTCATCGAAGCGACCAACATGAATTTGACCCAACTCCGGGAGGCAGTGGAGGACAGGAGGGCCTGGCGTGCTCTGGTCCATGGGGTCACAAAGAGTCGGACACGACTTAACCACTAAACAATAACATGCTCCTTTAAACTTTCTATATATTCCAAATGTAATAGAGTTGACGGCGTCTTTTTAATGTATCACCATTGTGTCATTTGTATGGTGTTTTGTGAACCTCTATGCAAATGGCTTCAGTTTGAAAAAACTGATATAAATCTCACAAGTTTGAAAAACTGATATAAATCTCCCCAGGTTCTTTCCTATCTGAATATGAGTAACATTTGCAAATGGTCTGGTCAACTCTGATCTTAAAAAAACTGAACTCAAATTCTCACCTCCATCTGACAGTGGGTTGGGCCAATCAGATGGAACCCCATAAGATCAGGTTAAGAAATAAAGAACTTCTCTTTCATCAGAACTCACCATTTATTTATGAGTTGCAAAATGGCCACTGGTTCAGATGAGTTTTTAAAAACGGTTGGATAGCTCAGTGGTTTGGGTCTCTGACATCAGAGCCAGAGGTTGGGAGTTTGAATCCCCCACTGGGCCTCCTTGACGGGGGCTGAACTGGATGACCCATAATGCATGCTTCACGGCTGTGATCTGAATGAAGGCTAGCAAAAAAGCACATGGTAGGTTTAAAAGGGTCTCAGAATGAGGCTGGAGGGAAAGGATATTCCAAATGCTTGAGGACTAGCAACCTTGTGTAGTCTTGTCTATGTAGTAAATATTCTGGTTCCACTGATGGGCCGTTTGGGTAAAAACAGAAAGAGGTTTTGAATCGAGTGACAGTGAGTGTTACAGGCAGGAAGAAGTTTAACTGGATGCTTGAAAGTGGGGGAAGAAATTTTGATGGTGCCATGAAGTCGGGGGGGGGGGCAGAGAAACGGGACATTTTCTTACCAGCCCTTTCCGCAACCAGATCATAACTGAAATGGCCAAAAAATGTGGAGGAAAAAGTCAAAATAGATGACTTGATGCATTTCTGGTTTTGATATTTTTTTTAATGTGAGCTTTTGATGGCTTGGCGTCACTGGTCCATAATGTTTCCAAGAACAGAACTAGCATTTCCACACCAAAAAGTTTTTTTTAATTTTTATTTTTTTTTCTTCTGGCTGGAGAGGGTTGCCTGGGGGGCTAAAAAAATGCTTTGGGAGTACATGTGCCATTGGTCAGATTCACCCGTTCTAGAGACCGAACAACATAATTTTAATTGTAATTTGATAATATAATTTGATGGTACCTGTGTTTCAGATCTTCCTCCTGTCTGTCAGTTAAATGTTGATGTCCTGTTCTTTTGAAGAACAGCAGGAAGTGGAGGGGGAAGTATTTTGGCATGCCACAATGTTACAGAGATTAGGAAAAAGCCACAAACCTTCTGGAGCAGTGGCTAAACTGCAGTACTGCGGTCAAGCCTCTGCTCATGGCCTGAGTTTGATGCCTATTGGCTCTGTTAGCTGGCTTGAAGTTGATTCAGCCTTCCGAAGTTAGTAAAATGAATATCTAGTTTCTCTGAGGGACAAAGTGCTTGTTTGCATCATTATGTTGACAATCACCCAGAAAGTGCTCCAAGCAGTATATATAACTTGAAACAATAACAACACCTTGCATTGGCATTTGAAGAAAAAGAGTAGAGCATGTGATTGGGTTTCTGAAGTTTCTAGGTTTGACCCTTGAACTCATTCCCAGTATGAAGAAAGAGAGAGCTGCTGTCGTTCTGAACAAATAACACTAGGCTAGTAGGACAAGGGACGTGGTGGCAATATGGGTTAAACCGCAGAAGCCTCTGTGCTGCAAGGTCAGAAGACCTATAGTCGTGAGATTGAATCTACGTGGCAGAGTGAGCTCCCATCGCTTGTCCCAGCTCCCGCCAACATAGCAGTTTGAAAGCATGTAAAAAATGCGAGTTGATAAATAGGTACCACTGTGGTGGGAAGGTCACGGTGTTCCATGTCTAGTCACACTGGCCACGGGACCACCGAAACTGCCTTCAGACAAACGCTGGCTCTACGGCTTGGAAAACGGGGATGAGCACCGCGCACTAGAGTCGGACTAAATGTCAAGGGGAACCTTTACCCTTACCAGTAGGACAAAAGTTTGACCTAGTATAAGGTAGAAAGGTTACCTGGGAAACTGACACTTCATTTGGACTGTGTGGTGTCAGTCCCTTCAGCCGGTATATCCCATGACTGCTACCTGTTGCAGAGTTTTGAATTTTTGGTTAAATTCCTCTAGTAGTGCAGCAGAAGTAAAAAAAAAAAAGAATAAAAGGTTCCATTACTTACAAATTAAACAGCTCAAACAGCAAATGGACAAACGCTTCAACAGATTCACTGCTTCCGACGGAGTCAAGGAGAGGGAAAGAGGCACAGATCAGAGAGGCTGAGCTCTCTTTTAATTCAGAGGCAGAGAAGGAATGATTGGATACTGCTAGATAGATTGACAGTCACTCTAGCCCGGAAAGGTCCCTCCCAACCAAACCTACTAAAGGCGTGCAAGCTTGCAAAGACACCAACACTAGCTTCAGGGGTACATATGTTGTATTCTGAGAAAGTAAGTTTTTGAAGCCTATTCTACACCACCTCTTCTCTCGACCCTTGCCCGGCCTGGCTAATCAAAGCAGCCAGGCCGGTAACAACTGAATAGGCCATTGCAATAATTAATGGGTCTCTCCAGGAGGGCAAGGTCCCCCTCGCCCTCAACGAGACACTCACTAGGCCCATTAGGAAGAAAACAAATTTGGCGGTGGACGAAATTGGCAATTATAGGCCCGTCGCCAATGTTTCCTTCCTCAGCAAAGTGGTTGAGAGGGTAGTGGCAGATCAGCTTCAGGCGCTCTTGGACGAAACCAATGCTCTGGACCCATTTCAGTCGGGCTTCAGGCCGCGCTATGGTACAGAGACGGCACTGGTCGCACTGTTGGATGACCTGTTGAGGGAGGCCGATGGGGGCAACATGTCCTTGTTGGTCCTCCTCGACATCTCAGCTGCCTTTGATACCGTCGACCACGGTATCCTCCTGGGGAGGCTCTCCGAGTTGGGAGTCGGTGGCCTGGCACTTGCCTGGCTCCGCTCCTTCCTGGAGGACCGCCCCCAGAGAGTACAGCTTGGGGAGAGGGTCTCGGCCCCGTGGAATCTCAATTGTGGGGTTCCACAAGGGTCGATCATCTCCCCAATGCTGTTTAATATCTATATGAGGCCGCTGGGCGGGGTCATCAGGGGGTGTGGGGCATCATGTCATCAGTACGCTGATGACACACAGCTCTACATCTCCTTTACACCAACTTCAGTGGATGCCGTCCGGTCCTGAATTTATTTTGCATTACAGTTTCCCTATCATCTTGCCTGCTAGAAATTGAGGGTGCTCAGAAGCTGATTGTAAATAAAGAATGTGACATTGCAGATATACTTGGAATGATGTGCGCTTCGAGTTCACTATTCTGCCCAGATGAGTAGAGGGCATGCTTTTGCATTTTAATTTGAAATTCAGTGAATATTTTGAATGCCACAGCATGTCTATAACGTTATTTCAAGGCTCTTGCGCATTGAGGCATGTAATGATTGGCATTGGCAGTAACTTGATGCAATGTTGCACAGTTTTAATGTTATCTTTGATCACTTCCTATTCATTGGAAAAATCCCACAATTGCAAACCCACATTATGTTTCATTGAGGATGCCAAGTTCTCTATATTCCAGAGCTTATTCAAGGCATTTTGTCCACCCTCAGGCTGCTCATTAAAGGGATGGCAGTATCTAATTTAATGAATAAGATAGAGTATAAATTCCCCATTCATTCATGAAGTGGGAATGGTAGAGGAATGAGCTTTTCTTCCTGCTATTCCCCAGCTTTTGTTTCTTAGAAATTGTAGAGGGTTTTAAGGATTAGAAGCACCGGGTTTGTCTGTGTCTTTTTAATCGTCAGCCAGTCCGTCCTTGTTTGCTGTGTGCCCTTTGCCTCGCAATCTAAAAAGGCGTCCGAGTTTTACGCACAGATGCCCTGTGCAAATTGTGGAGGCTGGGATAAGGAGAAATTTTTCTTCTTCTTGCCTCACTCTCGCCTGGAGCCGAGGATCTTGCAGGTCTTGAAAATCCCTCGCTTAGAAGATCCAGAGAGTCATGACAGCCAAAATCAATGGGAACAAAGAATAAATAAATAAATAAATAAATAAAATACTTTTTATTTCACATAAGGTTGTACTGTGTTAATTCCAACTCATTTTTGTGATGAAATTAAATCTACCAAGTTCAAGTTCAGGGCTTAAACGGGTTCCCCTTGTCTTTGCAAATCTACAGGTCTTCTGCTCTCCCACCTCTGGACTGGCCCCTCCCCAGCCAATATGAACAATATGAGCTGAAAATTGAAGTGCAGCCTCGAACTCACCACCGAGCCCACTATGAGACAGAGGGCAGCAGAGGTGCAGTGAAAGCTGCTCCAGGAGGACATCCCGTGATAAAGGTATCTGTGGGGTGGGCAGAGAAATCACAAGCTGGTCTCAGAGTGGGGTGGTGGGTTATAGCCTAATACTGGGTGGATCTGGGTTCAAATCTCCACTCGTAACCTTTGGGTGAGTTACCAGATCTCGGCTTAACCTACCTTATAGGGTCACTGGGGAGGCCTTCCACCTGGAGCTGTTTGGAAGAAAGATGGGATAAAACTGTAATGATGAATTGAATAACGATGATGGGGGGGGAGGAGTGATGGAGCAAAGAAGGTGAGCCGTTGTCTTCAAGGTCATCTAGACCACACAACACACACACACGCACACACACACACACACACAGAGAGAGAGAGAGAGAGAAAGAGAGAGAGAGAGAGAGCACTAGCTAGGTTTCCCTTGTCAGGAGTACATATAGTGGCCAGTCTACCTTCACTGCCTGTCTAACCCAGGGAAGGACCCGGTGTGTTCCACTTAGCCATCTCTGAACAGTTTAGCCTTGGTTCATTTATTTATTTGTTGGATTTATACTCTGTTCATCTCATGGGTCCTTTTAAAGAGAAAGGTTGGGTAAAACTGAACAAACAAACAAACAAATAAAGGCGAGCCACTAATCTGGGTGGCTGCAGGGAAGAAGCATAAATAGACAAATGGTTCAAACAATAAACATACCAAAAGAAAACAAACCCAAGAACCCAGCTTAAAACCTGTTAGAGAGGACGTTTTTAGGGTGGGTCCTTGTTTTTGTATGTTTATTGTTAATCACTAAATCTCAAGACAGCAAAATTAAAACAACTGAATCAGGCGCTAGACCATAAGGCCATCCCATAGGGCTGACACGACATAACCTCAGAAATACAGTGAAGGAGGGGTAAGGTTTCCAAAGTCCAGGGTGAAGAGCCAGGTTTTTAATTTGCTTCCCGAAGCGCAGGAGGGTATGGGGGACAGATGCTGCTCCGTTGGAAGGGCCCTGCCGGAAGGGCCCTCCAAAGCGAGGTGCATGCTGCCGAGACCCATTTTCTCTTTGGTGACTTCTTTTGGACTGGCCACACCCACTACATCAGAGATTTGGTGGTCTGGGTGGGATGGTTTGGGCTTGAAAATGAATCAGAGATACAGTACTTCTAATCATGTGTGGAATGTATTTTAATCACTGCGACTTTCAGGGCTGTGGAGAAAAGGATCATAAGCTGAGCACAAGTCAATATATTTCAGAGACTTCTCCCTTTTGGATTCCCCCCCCCCCCCGTAGAGAAAGACG